GTCAATTTGTATCAAAAGTCTTAATATTTCTCCAAACTTTGACCTGGCAACTCTACTTCTAGGAATACATTAGGAGATAACAATATTTTTAGTGATTTATGTACACAGCTATTGTTTGGAGCATTATTTATGGGAGCAAAAATATCCAACAATGTGAAATTACTTCAATTAATTAGTTTATTTCATACAAAGATATTCCACCTCTAATGTAACATAGTAGCAGAGGCTTAATAACATTTTTTTTTTTTTGCAATTAATGTTAGGTGCCAAAGTATATTAAAATGTAAATATTAGTAGTAATTTCTGGGTGTTGGAATTCTGTGGGATTTTGATTTATTGGCTGTTGTTTCAGCATTTTCCAAAACCTATACAAATATTATGTATTTCTTTATCTTAAAAATATGATATGCACTTTATAGGAAACAGAAAACACAACTCTGTCTTTGAGTGTTTATCTGCAAGGTCTTATAGGACACAAAAAAATAGAATACGTTTTTGCCAGTATAATTAAGCATTAATTAATATTCATTGTACAAAAAGATGCCTCCTTTGCTTTGTTGAATGTCAAAGTATGGCATAGTGTAGGGTGGGATGGTATGGTATTGTATGGTATGGTATATGCATAAGAGTAATATCCTTTCCAGGCAAAACTTTGGTTGCCGAATTTATGTTAAATAAATAAATACATTTGGAATTCCTCACATAGGAATTTTTGAACTTTTAATCAGTGTCTTCCCCACTAAGTCCAGTTAGACAAATGAGACATTATGAATTTAAGTTCTATTCCAAAATAATCAAATCTATCCCTGAAAGCAGTGCTGTATAAATTTAAAATAATATGCAAAAGAGAAAAATGATACTTCAAGACATAAGTAAAGATGCTAAAATATTTTGGTGTTTTCTACTTAGTATGCTTTTATATAGTGATAAACCAGCTACATATTTAAAAGCAATTTACAAGAATTTTTTAAAATGTTTTTATTGTTTTGCCTTAAGAAGCCACGTGATATGATAACTACCATGTTTTCCTTACCCCCACTCTATTGCAATCTACAAAAAGAAGATAAGGAGAAAGAGGGAACAATCTTAACGTATATTAGTTTATAAGTATAATTGATTTTTATGTTCCAGCTCTCAGTTAACATTTATCACAAAAGAGTTTCAGCAGCCCCTTTATCTGTGAAACATATAAAAGTTTAGGAGTACATTAAAATTTATCAGAACTCATAAACTCTACAGTGGCTACTACATTTATTGTGCAATTTGTTTTTAAAATACATTAACAAAGCAGTCCACACCCAAATGTGAAATGTCTAAGAACACGACACTTGACCTTTTTCACAATTATTATTTTTAAGGTTTTTAAATTATTTTTAACTGAGGTAATATTTGGATTCCCCCATCAGGTATCATTACCATATTGTACTCACCACCAAATCACCCATTTCACAATTATTTTTAAAAAGATTTCTGATTTAGATAGAGCAAAACACACACACACACACACACACACACACACAAGCATTGAAGGCACTGAAAAATCCACAAACTTGGAGGAAGTTATTGGATAAGGAAACTGGCCCAGGGAGAGTTTAACTGAGGGAAAAGTATTGCATATTTAGTACAAAGAGTGACTTAGAAATGAGAGTAAAAGTTTTGCTCAGTAAGTGTGTAGCATTTTTGCCTTCACCAAAGTCAACTGATATTATTTAATCTCGGTAAATTATTAAGTATTCTTGAGTTTCAGTTTCTACATCTGTAAAATAGATTAATATAAAATTCATTATGTACCAATCAATGGTCAGCAGTTTCCTCAGAAGTTTAAAGTAGTATGGACGAGGGGACTAAAGGTAGACTTCCTAGATGTAATTTCCTATTTGTTATATAAATATTATTTTATAATTAAAAACCCAAACAAAATTAATTAATTAATTAAACAAAGCATCAAAAAAAAAAAAAAAAAAGCCAAGCACCATCCACTGGACACACTCTTGTTCCCACCCCCAATCCAATCTTCCCCTCTATAACCTCACTTCTATTTTCAAAATACACTGATTATGTTATTTTGCCTTGTCCTTTCATCTACTTTGTTTCCTTATAGTCCACATGTAAGTGAGACCATCTGATAAAACAAAATAAATATTTTGAAGAGGATTAAACAGTAAAAGAGAAAATTAATGTTTGCTATAAATCTCCCGTTTCATCTTAAAATGTAGTACAGGAGGGAAAACATCTGAAAAGTTGATACCATTTGTGAAAAAAAATGGATTATTAACTGATAATTCCTTTCTTATCTGAATGATTTTGTGATGTATACATTTTAACTTTTGTCACTTGAAAAATGAACCTGTTTGAGAAACAATAAGAAAATATGAACATTTAATGACACAATTGAAATCCTTCTGGCCTCAGCCTAGAAATAAAACTACAGCCCTGAGCAAATATTATCAATTCTCATCATCATCTGGAGTGTCCTTTATCTTTGGCTCCTGAGATCATCTGTTATGAGAGGCAAAGGAATTGAAGTAGTTCACTTGAGCTCAAATAGATATAGTTGGATCCTTTTATGAAGAGTTCATGCCTAAGAAATATTCCCCTAAGGCATCAGAAATGTTTATATCACATACACCTTGCCATATATTTTTATTTCCCACCAAGAAATTTACAGTTATGGTTAACTAGTTAACACTTGGAAGGATGGGTGTGCATTTCTGCACTGCTTTATTTTTCTGAAACATATCTATTATGAAAATAATTATTTAAGAATTTTGTTAGCTCATTAATGAGGGTGCATCTTCAATAGAATGATATGTGCCTCTATTCCTTGCTTGTAATTCTGCAGTGATATACATAAAGGTGATATAAGCTTAATATTTTCATCTGAGATTTGGTTGCTCACTTAGAGATTGCCACACTTTTTCTTAGAGTGCAAAGATAATAAACTATTTGAGGAGGGTAGAATTTGAAAATAAAATTAGGAATGTAAATAGGAGAATTGGTGTGATTGGTGCTTTGAGAAGAAAGGAAAAATCAGGTTAGAGAAAAATACAGTTTAATGGGCTGGTGTGGGGAATGAACTGTGAATATCAACTGCTTGTTACCTCAGCTCTGTTCTTCAAAAGCCAACTTAAATATGTTCTTTGGGTCTTCCATATGACATATTTATTCAGCAAATTGAATAAACAAGTGACCAATTAAGTTGAAAAGTGTGATTTTAGATGACTGTCATCAATGTAGTTCTCCCTAAAGAGTCAGCATTTTTCTGTCTTTTCTTCAGTCTTGTCTTTCCCTATCAGTCAGTAACACTGCATGAAGCTGCCCTCTTTTCTGAATGTCCTGGGGTCAATAAGTTTTTTGCCTTGAGTCCTGCAATAAGGAAACAGAAATATCCTTTCTTTCAGTTTAACCCCTCCTCCACATCTACCATTCTCCAATGCGTAGCATTTTTTTAGTGAAATGGTTTCAAATTGATTAAGCTCTTTTCCTTCTCTCTACATGTGGTAATGGGGTAAATTAAATAAGAATAGAACTGCTTTAGAAGTGTAATAGGTTGTCTGAAAAAGACCTCCTCTCTTTCGACACTTGCCTAAAGTTCACCTAATCCAGTTCTTTTCCTGACATATTTCACTTTCCAGACTTCCCAAAATGCACACGATTTTGAATACTTGATCTTTATTTAGATTAGCACTGTCCAGCCTGTGGAAGGTCTAATTGAAAAGGGAAATGATAGAAGCATATTGTCTTTACTTTTTCTTAAAAAAAAAAAAAAAAAAAAAAACAAACTTTTTTGTGTGTGTCTTGTATATTCCAATCCTAAAATGATACACATTTTTTAATGTATTTATGGAAAAGTTGTGAACTCTGATATTAAACATCAGCAAAACAGCCTTCAGAGAAATAGCATTCTCACATTCTTTCTTCTTGCAGGTATTTTAGAAACTGATTTTTATAGCCCCCAAAGTTTGAAGAAAAGAGCTGTTTCCTCTCTGGGTACAGCCAGTTCGCTGTGCTCCAGAGGAAGCAGTGACCCTTTTCTGCATAAGCTGTGGAGGAATTGCCAGATACCTGCTGGTAAGGTTTCACACCAAGACTTTGAGACGGGAGATTTCTATCTTTCCCATTCAAAATGCAACTGGTTATTTACTTGCATGCATTTTAAACTTCGCTGAACTGATGCGGAAACTGTGTGTGTGTGTGTGTGTGTGTGTGTACATACGCGTGCACGCGCGCGCTCGCGTGCGCGCCTGTCTGACAGTGAGTTTTTAAGAGCACTCACGAGTCATATCGGGATTTTCCCCAGCCCCCTCGAACCTTCTCTGGTTCTCAGAGAAAGCTTTCGGGTCTGGAATCAAAGACGTCAACGTGCATTCTGTTTTCACCCTGCAGACTTAAATAACATTCAAGAAATATCACCAGAGAAACCTAACTCTCAGTGACCAAATTGACAAAGCTTCTATACCGTTTTAAAAAGAAAAGTATGTGCCTAAATTATATACCCTGCAACAATAAGATCATACCCAATCATGTTATTGTTTAAAATATATGACATGCATAGATGTTCCAAATAGCCACTAAAAAAAAAAAAAAAAAAGGTTTCGGTGACATCAAAAGACATCAAATAGCATTATAACACTGTACCGCAGACAGGAAAGAAAAGCATTTAAAACACCGATGAAAATGGCGTGCAATATAATTACCTCAAATTGCTGTTCGCTTGACACCCTGACACTAATTTTATTCAAGCCATTGGGAAATAAGTGTTTTAAAAGCACTCCTTTCTAAACGCTGAAGGTAGGGGGGCAGTGAGGTCGTCAAGGAAAGGAAAGGGTAAAGTTTCCACCACGCAAAAAGAATTAAATAATCCATTTAAAATAAGCTCTTTGTGGCTCGACAATCTTTAATACCCACATTTTAACGCTTGCCCTGTATGTGGATTGATTTTTTTTTCCTTCAGCATTCCCTCACCAGATGGATTTTTGCTACTGCAGATCAGCAGAGGGTGTCAGATCTTTCAGAGTGCACCAGGCTGGAACGAGCAGAGCTTCTTAGCAACTCTCTCCTCTCCCCCCGCCCCCCCATTCTCGCGCTCTCTCCCTCCCTCAGAAAACTCGCCCCCCACCCTCCGCCCCCTCCACGTAATTCCGAAAGAGCAGAAGAAAGAGAAGGAGAACAAGAAAAGAAGAGCTTTTAAGCGAGAGCCGGAGCCCAGAAAAAAAGGCTGAAGAGGACCGAAGGGGAGGAAAGAAAAAGGATGGACAGCTACAAAACGCAGCGATTGCGGAAATTTTCCAGCGCCATTGGCATGGCAGCGTGAGTGTTTCGGTCCGGCTTGATTTCAGCACCGGGGGTACTGGACAGCACCTCGGGGGGACTTCTGGGCGACCCGCAGCCTCGGCGAGAACTCCATCAGTCGCCTCCACAAGAGAAGCCGCGGAAACCCCTGCTTTGTATCAGAGAGGCAAGGTCAGTCCGACGCACAGCCATGCACAGGCAGTGCGCCTGTACTACGCTGCAAACCCCCTGCTTGTTTCTCTAACATGCACTTGCTTCTAATCACTAGCATTGTTCCCTTCCTCATTAGTGAGGACCACTAGACGAAATTCTGTAAGGGTGTGTTTTTAATTTGTGTGTATAGATTTAACTTCTTTTTGGTTATTTTTAAAGGGTTGAGAGGGAGTGGGTGCTTTTTTTTTTTCCTACTTTTTTTTTTTTTTTTTTTTTTGCTTGCCTTGCACTACGTGCCTGGATAGTTTGTGGATATAATTATTGACTGGCGCCTGGGTTGTTGCAGTGCGGGGGGGTTAGGGAGGAAGGAATCCACCCCCACCCCCCCAAACCCTTTTCTTCTCCTTTCTTGGGTTCGGACATTGGAGCACTAAATGAACTTGAATTGTGTCTGTGGCGAGCAGGATGGTCGCTGTTACTTTGTGATGAGAACGGGGATGAATTGCTCGCTTTAAAAATGCTGCTTTGGATTCTGTTGCTGGAGACGTCTCTTTGTTTTGCCGCTGGAAACGTTACAGGGGACGTTTGCAAAGAGAAGATCTGTTCCTGCAATGAGATAGAAGGGGACCTACACGTAGACTGTGAAAAAAAGGGCTTTACAAGTCTGCAGCGTTTCACAGCCCCGACTTCCCAGTTCTACCATCTATTTCTGCATGGCAATTCCCTCACTCGACTTTTCCCTAATGAGTTTGCTAACTTTTATAATGCTGTCAGTTTGCACATGGAAAACAATGGCTTGCATGAAATCGTTCCTGGAGCTTTTCTGGGGCTGCAGCTGGTGAAAAGGCTGCACATCAACAACAACAAGATAAAGTCTTTTCGAAAGCAGACTTTTCTGGGGCTGGACGATCTGGAATACCTCCAGGCTGATTTTAATTTATTACGGGATATAGACCCAGGAGCCTTCCAGGACTTGAACAAGCTGGAGGTTCTCATTTTAAATGACAACCTGATCAGCACCCTACCTGCCAACGTGTTCCAGTATGTGCCCATCACCCACCTCGACCTCCGGGGAAACAGGCTGAAAACGCTGCCCTATGAGGAGGTCTTAGAGCAAATTCCTGGCATTGCTGAAATCCTGCTAGAGGATAACCCGTGGGACTGCACCTGTGATCTGCTCTCCCTGAAAGAGTGGCTTGAAAACATTCCCAAAAATGCCCTGATCGGCCGAGTGGTCTGTGAAGCCCCCACCAGACTGCAGGGGAAAGACCTTAATGAAACCAGGGAGCAGGACTTGTGTCCTTTGAAAAACAGAGTTGATTCTAGCCTCCCAGCGCCCCCTGCCCAAGAAGAGACCTTCGCTCCTGGCCCCCTGCCAACTCCTTTCAAGACAAATGGGCAAGAGGATCATGCCACCCCAGGGTCTGCTCCAAATGGAGGTACAAAAATCCCAGGCAATTGGCAGATCAAAATCAGACCCACGGCAGCTATAGCCACAGGCAGCGCCAGAAACAAACCCCCAGCCAACGGTTTGCCCTGCCCTGGGGGCTGCAGCTGCGACCACATCCCAGGGTCAGGTTTAAAGATGAACTGCAACAACCGGAACGTGAGCAGCCTGGCTGATTTAAAGCCCAAGCTCTCCAACGTGCAGGAGCTTTTCCTGCGAGATAACAAGATTCATAGCATCCGAAAATCACACTTTGTGGATTACAAGAATCTCATTCTTTTGGATCTGGGCAACAATAATATCGCCACCGTAGAGAACAACACTTTTAAGAACCTTTTGGAACTCAGGTGGCTGTACATGGATAGTAACTACCTGGACACGCTGTCCCGGGAGAAATTCATGGGGCTGCAAAACCTCGAGTACCTGAATGTGGAGTATAACGCGATCCAGCTCATTCTTCCTGGCACGTTCAATGCTATGCCCAAACTGAGGATCCTCATTCTTAACAACAACTTGCTGAGGTCCCTACCGGTGGATGTGTTCGCTGGGGTCTCGCTCTCTAAGCTCAGCTTGCACAACAATTACTTCATGTACCTCCCGGTGGCAGGGGTGCTAGACCAATTAACGTCCATCATCCAAATAGACTTGCACGGAAACCCTTGGGAGTGCTCCTGCACCATTGTGCCTTTTAAGCAATGGGCAGAGCGCCTGGGTTCCGAAGTGCTGATGAGCGACCTCAAGTGTGAGACGCCGGTGAACTTCTTTAGGAAGGATTTCATGCTCCTCTCTAATGACGAGATCTGCCCCCAGCTGTACGCGAGGATCTCGCCCACGTTAACTTCTCACAGTAAAAACAGCACTGGGTTGGCGGAGACTGGGACGCACTCCAACTCCTACCTAGACACCAGCAGGGTGTCCATCTCAGTGTTGGTCCCGGGACTGCTGCTGGTGTTCGTCACCTCCGCCTTCACGGTGGTGGGCATGCTTGTGTTTATCCTGAGGAATCGAAAGCGCTCTAAGCGAAGGGACGCCAACTCCTCGGCGTCCGAAATTAATTCCCTGCAGACAGTCTGTGACTCTTCCTACTGGCACAATGGGCCTTACAACGCAGATGGGGCGCACAGAGTGTATGACTGTGGCTCCCACTCACTCTCAGACTAAGACCCCAAGCTGGGTAAAACAGGGGCGCCATAAGGCGAAGACCCCCCACTTCCCACCCCCGCCGGCCTCCCAGGGGTGGAGGAGCTGAAACGTAAGTCCCGCGCACCCCAAGGCTTGATGGACCTATGTAAATGCATCACTATGAACTCGCTCCACTGAGAGGGTCTGACCCCTTAGCTCCCTTCTGGAAACAAAGAGCAGACTGTGCGCTGCCAGCTCGCTCTTTGCTGAGAGCTCCTTTGACACAGCCCAGCAGGGGCCCTGCTCCAAGAACTGACAGTGCCCTTGCTCTCAGCTGCAGGGCTGGTGGGGATGGCTGCCAAGATCCTATACATATATACATATACCTACATCTATATAGAGAGATAGCTATCTATTTTTCCCCTGTGGATTAATTAACCCCGCGAGGAAGGGGGGCGTGATGGCTCCCTGTTGGCTGCGCAGGGATGGGCAGTTGCACGAAGGCATGAATGTATTGTAAATAAATAACTTTGACTTCAGACAAAAAATAAAAAATAAAAAGTGCTGCATGGTTCGCATGGATTCCACGCACTCCAGGGACGCTGCCCTCCCCGGCGACTGGAGAAGACGTCAAGTTCACAGCACCCACCCTCTTACCTGATAAGTCCCATCGTATCAAACTTTCTATAAACAAAATACAGTATAATCAGAAAGTGCCATTTCGCCATTATTTGTGATCGGTAGGCAGTTCAGAGCGTACGTTTACTGTGAAAAAAATGTAAAGATTTTATTTAAGCTATTTGCATGACTAATCATCGGTCCATTTTATGAGTTAAAATGTATTTTGTTGAGCGAAGTTTTTATGGGTTGTTTTGGGTTCTTTTATTTTGATGGTGATGTTTTATTTTATTTTAAGGGGGAATATTTTTCTATACATATCCAATAATGCCTTCCATCTGAATGTAAAATAAGTACCCATGATTTCTATTATAGTATCAGTGTAATTATTTAAAAAAAAAATTTGAGGCAGTTAAGCATGACCAATTAATGTCACTCTAGTGCTTAGGCTGCGATCCTATGGTAGCAATTCTGTGCTGGTGTAAATCTTACTTATAAAGTAGGAAAAAAAGAACCGAGGAAGCACGTGAAACTTACTAATTCTATTCGAGGATTTTATAATGGCATATTTTTTCAGTATTAAAGTGAAAATGTTTTCAACTCTGGGTCCTTACATTTTTCCAGCCTTTTATTTGCAACTAGTAAATTGGATTTGCGGTGGAAGGGACCCGGAAGGCGGATGGTTGGGGGTGGATCCCTTCTCGAGCTACATTAAGGCTCTTTCTCTAATCGCCTTACTTAGCTTTTACCCTTTACGTAGCTCCTCTCTCCTACCAGCCCCTCCCAATTTAGGAGCTTTCCCTTGACGCTCAAGTACTGTCTTTCCCCCAACATCCCATCACCCCCTCCTTTCCTTCCTAATGCGGCAGTGAATCTCTCTATTAATACTGGAAACCCCTCGCTGCTGCTACTGCTGCTGCTGCACACTCTGCAGATATATTAAGGATTTTAGTAGAGATTTGATTTAATTGACTGCCTAGATCGGTCTCATTAAACAGAGTGGAGATTTCATTGGTCAGCACTCTTCGATGAAAGACAACCCTAATGACTGGCATTTGAGATGCTGCTGGCATTTTGAATTCAACATCTGCTGAAAACGGTAAAACTAATTAGTGGCCACCCACCCTCCCCGCCCCAGCAACTGCATATTGAAATTTGTTGAAGTACTCATCTTTATGGAAATCAATCATTATCTTAAAGAAGTGTTTTTCTCCCTTCATCCGGATGTCTGGTTGTAGCCCAGTAATTAACAAGAAAAGCGTTGTACTGTTTGAATTTTATGAGTCAACCTAACTCTGGCCCCAGTCATACTCCTCTGGGATTTCTAAGCAATCTATTTTATCAGCAGTTAGGGAACAAAAAAAAGCAAGCAAACTAGGCAAATTGATGAGGTCTGCATTCCACCACATATCCACCTCTGAGAAGTGTGTTAAAAGACTGCAGACCATAAATTTAAGGGAAAAAAAAAAAAAATAGAGGATTGTAAATCATATAATGAAAGTCCCCAGAGCAGTTGCAAGAAGATTTGCCTTCTAGAATTCATATTCTTAAAAAAGTAATTTCCCAGAACACCAGTGTTCTGGAGTATGTATTATTTATTTTAACGCTTTTTAAATAAAAACTTTATTATAAACCATGACTATTCCTAAGGCCATTCATCATTTTCTCTTTTGATTCTTTTGTTTGTGGGCTGTATTTCCTAGTGGAAAACTTGAAACCTTCAATCCTCTGACAAATATTATGGGTTGTTATTTATTTATAAATTTTTCATAAATAATTTAACTTTTTTATGGAAGTACAACTGGGTTCCTGGTAAATAGTCAACAGATTTATTTGTGATGGAAAAGGGGGAGGGAAATTGTCATATATTCAATAATACTATGACCTTAAGAAGGAAAAGTATGGATGGCAGATGTCTATGTATCTGGTGGAAAGTGGCACCTAATAAATCTAGTGAATAATAGTAATTTTTAAAATTGATCCATGATTAGTCTAAGAGGGAACTAGAACTTACAGGAAAAGTATGCAGGAGCACGAACAATTTTTTATATTAATTGGAAAGCAACTGTAGTATAGGAGCTAAGGTCAAAGAGACTATGCTTATTTGTAAAATATTAGCTTCAGTTGTTTTTGAGTGGTCATTGTATGCCAGGCATGTGCTAAACAATTTACATAAGTATTTAATTTAACCCCCACAGCTATACAATAATTTAATATGATATTGCTAGTCCCATTGTACTGATGAGAAAATTAAAACTTTAGGAGAGAAAGTGATAACTCAGATCATATCTGATAAATATGGAGGGGGATTTAAGCCCAATTACCATTATATTCAAAAAACACAACTGTTTGAATGGATTAAACATATTTACATGATAACTTCTTAAAGAAGACTATCCATTTTTGAAATATAAAATAACCAAAAGAGGACCCAGGTTGTATCTTCTTAACTGAGGTGTTGGTGGCCCTTAATATTTCCAGTAAAATAAAGGAAAATTGTCATATATTTGGAAAAGATAACTTTAGTGTGTTCTCCAAAAGTATATAAGAAGACAACATTTAAGAAAAACTATGATGTGCTATATGAATTTATGAATACAGAAATTCAAATCAAACTATAAATTGATTCTAAATATTAGGATCATGAAATATTTTAATACATAATAATATATATTAAAAACCCATGTAGAATAACTATCCAATAATTTCACTGAAAAATAACATTATTTATAAGACATTGATTTTGATAAAGTATCACAATTATGTAAATATAATATATGCCTATTATTAAATATACATATATATATTAGTTTGGCCTAAAGCTAATATATATTAGTTTTGCCTTAAATTTTAGTTTTCAGTCTCACCGTGAAACTTTCATTTAGAAATATTAAGCTTCTTTTTTTTGTTTTTTCTTTACAAAAAGTATGCATACTAAGAAGTTTCCATGTAGGTTAGTTGGGATATCTTGTTTTGGGGTGAAATCACCCTTTCATCAAAGTAAGAGAGTTTAGTTATGTGAGATGAAAAAGTAGAAAAGAAGAAGCTATCTTGTTTAGTTCCAATGCTTTAAATGAACTAGTAGCTTCTGTGTTTGCTGCTGCAACTAAGAGTATCCTAGAGTTTAAGTTGTTGCCATAGAAAATTGTTGTTTAACCATTTTCACATGTTCACCCAAGAGGACACTAGAATAGCTGAATTAACTTTGACACAACAGGAGTATTTTTCTTGATAATATTTATATCAGATATAATAAGAATTGTCAGGCCTTTTAATAAGTATTAAAATTATACTGATGATTTTAAGGACAGTTTGTTAATTTAGCTTTTTCCAGTTTATTAATAAATGTTATTTGATGTGTACACAGAAATGGTGAATTTGGAAGGGTGAGCAGGGATGTGTGTTCTTTCACTTTGTTGGCAGAATATTAAGTAGTGTGATTTCTAATTCAGTTCTTTTGCTAGATAATTTAGAAGAAATGTTATTTTTTTAATTTGTATGCTTATTTGAAGAAAAATGGAGATATAAAATGTGCTAAAGTTATAATTTTAGCATGTATACAACTTTTGGTTTATCTCTTATTTCAGTGTATTCGAAATGGAACATATTTTTTTTAATTTTTAAAAGATGAACTCTGTATGAAGTCAACAGATATAGTAAATGCATACGCAATATTTTTAACTTCTATGATTGCTTCAATGTGACCCTGAACCGTAAAAAAATAAGGACAAATTAAATAAGTTTTATATAATCCCTTGGCATTTTCTTTCATCTCTAAGGTCACCAAAAATTATGTTATAAAATGCAATATGCAGGTCTTGCAAAACTTTCTTCTTCATATTGAAACAAATTCACTAAATGATTTCATGAAAGCATATATTACAAACAGAGCATTCCTGACACCTGAACCATGATTAACTCTGTTGTGACTGATCAGAAATTGTCTGAATTTCAAAAAAAATGAATAGTTAAGATAATAATTCACTAAGTGCTTTAAACTATAACTTTATAATGAAGTGGACTACCAAAGCAGACCACTTTTTGCAGCCAGTATGACTCTTCAGCCTCAATAGACTGGCAATTTCAGTTTTTTGGCATGGACCTCAATTATTACACTTCCATTTATTTGCTAAATAGATACTACATTGCATACTTAAAATATAATTCTATTTTCTTGCTTGAACTTTGCAAACAACTTACCTTATAGTTTGAGGAATTTTGAATGAGTTAGGCATTAACATTTCAATGGACAAATTTAACTGAGCACTTATTACACCAGAAATATTGTGGCTCTCTAGGATAAAGAAATTAAGGCAGTTTCTACTTCAAGGATTGGATGATGGGCAAAGATGCCATATATACAAACGTCATAATTATAGAAGACTAATACACCATAGACACTTTCAACAGATGCCACTAGAAATTTTGTATTTCTTTATTTTAAATAATTTAGGTTTCTGGACATTTGGAAAATTGCAGTCATCACATCAGTTTTTTTTTAAGTTATTATGCAAATATTTGAAAATATTAAGATAACGTTTGAAAATAAAAGAGGGACTTTAATTACTTTATTAGTTCTATTTTCATTTCTTCTATAAAATGGGAACAATGTCTGGAATTTTGTAACATCAGTAAGAGTTTTACGCTAATTCTGAACAGAAATTACTAAATGATTTTTTTTATCTTAGCAAATGAATAACAGCTATTTATTCAGTTTCAGTTATTTGAAAAATCAAATATTCATTTAGGAAATTGAATAAAACATTTCCTGGTATAAGAGTTTCAGATGTAGTTGTTACTTAGCTTTGATCTGTGTTGTTTATATATAAAATATACTACAGAAAATTTACTATATTATATATATATTTATGATTTTACTGTAAATCCACTCGTCCCTTAGACCTAATATCCAATTACTTAGTAGAATGGTACTAATGCATAAGCTCTGAAGTTTAACAAGCAGAAAGTAGTAAGCAATGTCTTTCATTTACCCACTTCTTTGCCTTATTCACTTTGCCTGTAACTGTATTTCTTTTCTTGGCAGAAGAATACAGGAAAGAAACATATTCGGCAGTAGTATATCGATAGAAAAAGTCAATATAGAATGAAAAATGAGAAGTGCCTCAAATATAGATGATAAATGGCTAATCCAAATTGCTATCACAGAAGCAGTCTTAGTCCCCCAAGATAGAGGGACAAATAGAAAAGGTCCACTCTTACCCTAAATATAATAGCTAATAACAGACTGTAATATTTATTATACAGTTTTTAATGTAAAGCAATAGCTTATTTAATTTTCCTATCTGCATAAGATATGAAAAACTAATGTTCATTTTAATGATAGTAATATAATTTGATTATTACAAGTACACACAGAAATTTTGCCAATTCCATGAAATAATGGGATTAAAATGGTGAACAAATTTAAAACAGTGTCATTGTTTATACTCAAAAAGTAGAAAGCACAAGTTACAGTTCAAATTTTTTTTTTTTTTTTTTTTTTTGGTGGGACCCTCACCGGTGGCCAGGGATCGAACTGGCACTGCAGAGGTTGTGGGCAGCCTTGCAGCCCAGTGCTCAAATGCTGCACCACCAGGGGAGGCCCCAAATAATTTTATATAATTACTTTATATATATAGAATCATAAGTAATCCCATGACTAAATTATTTTATCAAAAATATTTTGTTGTGTAATATATGACATGGGATATATCTGAAAATATATGAAATAATAATTATTTTCTAATTTGTGCTCAGATAATATGTGGAGCTAGTCTAATTCACTTGTAAGTCTAGTTAATTTTAATAAGTTGGGCATTTAGCACTAGTTTTTATTTTAGTAGACTCTGCAGCAAATAATTAAGACAGCCTATCAACACTGATTTGGAAATGTTTATGTTGTGAACTTTTCAAGGTTTCTAAATAGTGGATCTACAATGGTTTAACTCATTTTCAAATGACCATCAAAAGAATGGATTCACTAAAGAAAAGTATTCAATGCTACTAATCCCTATTTCCTATATGACTAAATGTTTTCTGGTGTCTCAATATATGTTTTAATGAGAAAGTTTAAGCTGTTATTTTATTTTGATCAGAATGAGTTACCTAAGTGTATTTTCCGTAAAGCTTTTGTTGGGGTGACATTCATATTTTTCCCCAAAATGGGCAGGTCTCTAAAATCTGATTTCATGATACATATGGTATTTGGTATAATTAGACATAAGGACATAACGAGTGTATTCCAGTAGGGCATAACATATTATTGTGTAATATTATGAGGAATAAGATATGAAGTCTAGAAAGCGACAGCTGTAAAAAAGCAATTTCCCCAAAATGAACTACATGGGGATGTCATATAATAATTTAAAATTTATAGTAAATTAAGAAGTCAGATCTGAGCACTTTTAGACATTCTTTTCATAAGCATGACATTATTTATAGCCAATCAAAAACTATTTATTTTACTAGTTTTTCATAATAAAGAATTTTTTTTCAGTATTTTCACATGGATAGCTCATACGGCCCTTATTAAATTTCCATCCCTGCCAGGCTAATTTGCATACCTGATGAGTAATAAAATGCATAACTGGAAACATAATTCCTTTCCTTTTATAAATACAGGGTTTTTAGGTCATA